ATTTTATTTATTTATTTGAGAGAGTGAGGTTGAGCATAAAGGGAGAGTGAGAGTGAGAAGCCGACTCCCTGCTGAGCAGGGAGCCCGATGCGGGGCTCGATCCAGGACCCTGGGATCATGACCTGAGCCGAAGGCAGACGCTTAGCGACTGAGCCGCCCAGGCGCCCCTCTATGTTTGCATTCTGTTTCGGTTACTTCTTAGTGGTGTAGCCTTGGGAAAATCACCTGTCTGGGCCTTACTTTCATGAGCCCACGAGATGGGCTTGTTGCTAGTTCCTGCCTCATGAAGTTAGCATTTAGATGAAATAACATAATGTATGTAAAATTTTTTTGGATGAAGTAATACAATGTTGTGTAAAATGCTTAGCATAGCACGTGCCTCAAAGTCAGTCCTCGGTCCATGTCAGTTGCTGTCACGAACGTGGGGGTGGCTGCTAGCATCATTATCTGGACCTTGGCCTCTCCCACCGGGGACTCATGAAGGGTGAGGACCAGGGCTAGCAAGTGAAGACTCACAGTGGCCATCATGGGGTGGAGCCAACTGCGGCCACTGTGGGATCATTCTGTCCCCTGAAAACAACTGAAGATGGGAGGAGGCACCATAGCAGAACAGCCTCACATCCAGGCATGGACATCGGCTGTGAGGTCGCTGGTCCTCACGGCAAGGGCTTCCAGGGGCCCAGGCAGAGGTGTGGAACTCTATGGATGGAAGGGCCCTTGGACAGCATCTCATTCAACTTCCTGATTTTAGGATGGCAAAGCGGAGTTTCTGTGAGGAGACAGGACTTGCCACGCCCAATTTCACTTAACGAGGGGCGATCTGGGGCTACTCTGTGTCCAGCCCAGTGCTGCACGCTGGACATACAGCCCAGCGGGTAAAGAGTTGGATCCAGACCCAGTTTTCCACGAAACCGTATCACCTACAGACCCCGGAGCAGCCTGCTAAAAACAACACACTTCTGTGTGCTACCAGAAGGGAGAAAACCAGAATTCTGTATTACCAATAAATCATGCTGGCCAATTCTTTCAACTGCAAGCTGGAGAGTGAAACACCAAATTGAACTGTTACACAATCAAGAAGACTGGAAAACATTAAGAACAAATCTAACGAGCACAAATTCTTCCATGCCTGCGTTTCGCCTTTGGACAGACAAACAAACTGGTCTGGGTGCTCGGCACCGAGGTAGGAGGTTTGCAACACACCCACACAGCTCCCATGCACTTTCCTCCTCAGTGCCCAGACTCCTTCAGTGTCTTACCAACATATTCAAAACTGGGGGAGAAAAGAACATTAACAGTAAATTGTCATTTTATAAGTGATGAAACTGAACCTTAGAGAAATAAGTAGGTCACAGCCTATAAAGAATACAGTAGCTAGGGGCACCTGGGTGGCTCAGTCGGTTAAGCAGCTGCCTTCTGCTCAGGTCGTGATCCCAGGGTCCTGGGATCGAGCCCCATGTCGGGCTCCCTACTCAGTCGGGAGCCTGCTTCTCCCTCTCCTTCTGCCTGCCGCTCTGCCTACTTGTTCTTTCTCTCTCTGTCTCTCTGTCAAATAAATAAATAAAATCTTAAAAAAAAAAAAAAGAATACAGTAGCTAGATAACTTCTACTCTAGGCTATAGGGCTATAGAAAAAAAAAAGACTTGCTTAAGTGTTATATGGGAAGTACGTCCCAGTGCATTAGTTAGAAAAGTCTCCCACAAAAATGATTTTTAGCCTTCTATGGGGCATGAGTGCCTCTGGGAATCTACTGAAAGCTGTGAATTCTCTAGCCCATAAGCGCACAAACATAGTTTTGCCTGTAATTTCAGAAGCTCACCCGTGTAGCCTTTCGCAATTCCTGAGCCGCAGCTAAAGAAACTTGCTTTAAAGTGTTGGTTGTATAGTGATGCAAAATAGCTCAAATCACCTTTACAAAGTCCAAAACTGAAAGCTTTCTATGGGAGGAGGGGTTTGAATAACAGGTGAAAAATGCTTGTAATCCTGTTTTTCCATATTTCAATCAAAACATGAAATTATGATTTGTCGGGACACACGTGCAGATTAAAACAAAATGTATTTATCAGCCCGCCACTGCAGCCAGAGGATAACACTACATAGGGTTCCAAACAGTTCTAGCAATTGGGCCCCTGCACTAAAAATAGTCTAAGGGCACATTGCAAGAAATCGCCAGCCAGTCTCTCTCGATCCGCGAGAAGCTTTCGCACTCTGTACCAACACCGCATTCAGTCAAGGCGAGTCCACGCTACGGGACGGCACAGAAAGCATCCCCACTGTTGATTGCCATTTACACGTCCGCAATTTAAGATGATATCTCTTTCCCTAAAGGAACAATATTGCATTAACATTGTGGCATTAAGTAACTGAGTTTCTAGTAATACTCTTTGCATTAGAAGAATAGGATTACCCAAAAACTTGCCTGCTGATTTAAGGGTCCGCAGGTTCTTCTTTTACCTCCGAGGCCTCTGGAGAAGGGCTAGGAAACAGAGGATTTCCCTCCCAGCTACCTGTGAGAGCCCCAAAGGCTACCCCTGCCTGCCTTACAGCAGGGGCTCTGCCCCTGGGGCGCGGAAGGTGATGGTAACATGAGCCGGCTCCCGCTGCAAATAGCAACAGGCCTGCCATGTGTGAAAGCCCAAATATAGACCTGCCTAGGCTGTCTTGCACTTCTTACCGCTCAAGTGTCACCAGGAGGGGTCACATGCTGTCCCCGGAGTTTCTTCATTTACTAGGATTTGAGGCCTGTAGCTCCACGGTGCTGCTCGGAGGGCCAGTTGTGTGCAGAGGGCTGGAGGCCATGCAGCCCATGCAGGAGGGAGGGTGTCTGAGAGTCCCCGAGCTGGGCCGCTTCCACCTGCGCCCGTGGTCTTTTCTCAAATTGTTTTGAACAAGCACAGCTCTGAAGGTAATCAAATGCAACTTCATTTTTTTTTCTTCCACCATTCCTTTCACATGTACTCACTGTGGGAATCATTCCCCTCTCTGGATGAAAAAACAACCCAAACCAGCAGACCCATGACTCTCTGCTTCCTCTTAGGTGACATTCAGTCCTAGGGTCATTTGAAGGCGTAGTCTCCATTCAGTAACTGAAGGTACCGTCCCGAATATTAATGCAAAAGTCAAACTTAGCTCAGCCAGTATCACAATCTTCTCCCCTACCCGGCCTGGGCCTCTTTAGCTGGAAGTCTGCCCTGGGAAAGGAGGAAGGAGGTCGGTCTCTTCTCCCCACACCTCCTTGAGCTGCTGGTGGAATGCCAGGGCAGGAGTGCCAAGGTGATAAGACAGCTCCTAATGGAGTTGATGCCACAGTGGGTGCTAGCTTCAGGCTCTCTGGGCTGGCAGGTGCTCAGAGCTCTCTATCGTGCACCCTCCTTCCCTCTTCATCTCCCTCCTTCTCTCCTGGGGAGTTTTTGTACATCTCTGGAGTTTCGCATTATGGAGACCTTTCCCTTGAGTTCCCACAACAAGGCTGAGAACCCCACTCTTCCAGGGGGTCCCTCGCATTCCCCTTATAGGCCCTGGTGGACCACCTTCACGATCACTCAAATGAGGTCTCCTTACCCATGCCGTTGGCTCTCTTAGGCAGGATCTGACGATTCCTTGCTGACTCTGTCATTCTGCTGGCTCAGGAGGCAGACCCATTCTTGGTCCCTGCGAACTCTGGGAGGCAGTTAGACCCAATGCAGCCACTTCCCCTGGCTCTGCCATCAAAGCGGCCAATCCGCTCACCTCAGGCCACCATTGGCCCATCTGCAGGAGATACAGCAAGCTCTCTGAAGGGTCCCTTTGAAGATCCCTCACTGGGCTTGGGGATAGAGGACAGGACTTCCAACTGTCCCCGTAGCCCACCAAGTGTTCTCCAGAGAAACTGCTCCACCAGTTTCCCTCCTGAGAGCATGAATTGGGTTCTGGACCGTTCCATTGAAAAGTTTGCTTATGGTGATTTGATCTCAGAATTTACATCTATTGCTTTTTAAATCTCAATCAAAATGTCGTTTGAAAAATATCATTGCTGCCAGGTATCTATAAAATAAAAATATTAGAAGCACAATAAAATATCAAAAGCAAAAAAACTGTAAGAAAAAATTTATGCAAAGAGGTATGTACAAGAATGTTCACCACAGCATTATGTACGTTTGCAGAAAATAGAGATTAATCTATGTCTATCAATATAGAATTTGTTAAATCACAATACAGTCAACTCAATATTGGGAAATATTAAAATCATCATGTAGATGTCTATCTTTTATGTGGAAAAGACCAACAATATATCTGTAAGTTGAAAAAGAGTGTAAGGGGCGTCTGGGTGGCTCAGTCGTTAAGCGTCTGCCTTCGGCTCAGGTCATGATCCCAGGGTCCTGGGATTGAGCCCCACATCAAGCTCCCTGCTCCGTGGGAAGCCTGCTTCTCCCTCTCCCACTCCCCCTGCTTGTGTTCCCTCTCTCGCTATGTGTCTCTCTGTCAAATAAATAAATAAAATCTTAAAAAAAAAAAGAGTGTAAAATATCATTACAGCATAATCATATATATATTAGAAGATAAATACATAATATAGATATATAAACATACTGTATATAACATAATATATAATATAAATATATAATATATAGTATAATATATAATACAAATATATAATAATATATGATATTGTATATAATGGTACACATAAAATGAGAGCAGGGTTTAACTCTTTTGAGTTATTTTACTTTTTTCTTTACATCTTTGATGGTACCTATTTTAGTAACAATTATATATGCACCTTTATTAATTTTTAAAAATATTTTTATTGAAAAATAATATATGGTATTTGGCTTAGAAAAAGGCCAATATTACCAAAGAACCATAAAGTGAATATAAAGCAGGCATGTATGCTGGTAACAACAATTATTAGGTTTGGTGGGTCCTTGCCCTTATTTTTTTCTAAGAATGTACAAACATCCTTCCCTCACACAAAAATAGAAATTACTTTTATAATTAGAAATCCTGCTAGTGTCATTTTTTTAAAAAAGATTTTATTTATTTATTTGTCAGGAGAGAGAGTGCATGAGCACAAGCAGGGGAGGGGCTGAGGGAGAAGAGGCTCCAGCTGAGCAAGGAACCCAATGCAGGACTGGATCCCAGGACCTTGAGATCATGACCTGAGCCGAAGGCAGACCCTTCACCAACTGAGCCCCCCAGGCGCCCCTGCTGATGTCATTTTGATAAAGCAATAAGTTAGAAAGACTACTAAAAAGAATAAAATAATATAAAACAAATACAGTAAAAAGACATGCTGTAAAAAATATACAAAAAAGATATTAAAACAGACTTGAAGAATTATCAGTAAATCACATTAGCTAAGATAATATATTTAAAAATGGTTCGAGGAAAAATAAATCTCTTCAACTAACAGGTTCTCTCTCCAAGAGGACTGCCAAGAGCAGCAGTTCTGAGTCCAAGGCCCCATAGCCCCACACTGGCATTAAAGGGGGTGGGGGGAGCTGAGACAAGCAACTTTAGATCTTAAAGCTACATTCCACAGAGGTTTCTAGATACCCTGGGAATTCATCTTCAGTGGAGACTGATGCCCTAACCATTGCAGCAGGCTGGCCCTGCTTTCTTGTTGTTTTCCTTTGGGCATAACAGCAACCGCAAATCTCATTTCCGGCTTCCCCAGCTCCAAACCTTCAAAAGCTTTCACCGGTTCCTGAATCTAACCCTCAGGAGCCCAGTCTCGGAGAAGGGCTCCTCCTCCGGGCTTTCGGGGCACCTCCCCCCACCTCCCTTCCCTGGACAACCCCCCCTCCCCCCTGCGTGCACTCACAGGACGGAAGCTGGCCTGCACTGTGTTTCCGGGTGCGCACGGTGCCTTTCCCGGACACAGACCAGGGCTGTCTTAGTCCCTCCAAGTCACATCCCATCCCCACGTGCAAATTAGATTTCCCCATCTCCTTCAACAGGTCTTGGGGAGCCATGTGGTCTTCTTAGCCTGAGTGTGTATGTTAGGACAAGGTTCTTTGTGGGGTCTCCGTCTCCTTGGCTGTAACAAGAAGAGTGGGAACACACTGTATGTAAACATGCGGTCTGGGACCTGGGATGCTTTGAGGACAGAGAGACATCTTTTGTGTAAGCCCCCAGACCTGCACACAGTAGACACTCCATGAAAGCTTGTTGAATCGGTAACAACAGATGCATGGCTTCTACCCAGTGGTTGGCGCTTAGAGGCCCTCAGCCAATTAACTCCTACGTTTGATTTAACGTTTGGTCTCCAGCAAGTTTGCACCGTCCTCGGGCGCAGGAACCCTCCGGTATTCACGGGCGCCCTAGTGAGCAAGGACCGAATCAGCCGGTCCCCGTTCTCAGGAGTTTCGCAGTTTAGGGCAGGAGGATAAGACGATAACTCGTTCATGTAACGAACACTTTTCCTACGTCAGTAGGTACAAAGGTGGAAAAGGTGAGGCAAGAGTGGAAGTTCCCCGGCTCAGGGACAGGGTTGCGACAAGGACTGCTTCCCAGGGCCCGGACGGAGACAGACTTCTGACCTTCTCATTGGCTGCTGAGAACCCGCCCACGGCCGACAGCCAATCAGAGGCGCCGGGGGGCGGGGGTGAGCCCGACAGGCGCTGACGCGAGCGCCTTCCAGCCAGAATGTCGCGGTCCGCCACCAGCCCCTGGGGGTGCGGGGAGGCCAGGAGCGCGCGAGCCAGGTCCGCGGGCCGCTGAGCCGCAGGCCATGGAGGACGAGCAGCCCGACAGCTTGGAGGGCTGGGTGCCGGTCCGCGAGGACCTCTTCGCCGAGCCCGAGCGGCACCAGCTGCGCTTCCTCGTGGCCTGGAACGATGCGGAGGGCAAGTTCGCGGTGACCTGTCACGACCGCACGGCGCAGCGGCAGCGGCGCGAGGGGAGCCGGCCCGAGCCCGAGCCGGCCGCGTCCCCTCCCA